AAAAAAAAAAAAAACTTTTCACATTGATATCTGTAAGAACGGAGAGGGAGAAGAAAGCAAAAATAACCATGCTATTTTTTAGAAACTGTCCTTCCCAGGACACGACTACATGCAAAATTTCTATTCCTGAAACCCATAAACAGACCGCCTTCGCCATGGGTTTCAAGATATCTCTGAAACTTGACATATCAAAGCTGCTGAAGGAAGAAGAGGATATGTTAGAAAGATTACTGGAGCGCCAAACAATAAAAAAAGGTAAAAGATCAATTTAAGGGTAGAAGTTATACAGATATATAAGAATATATTTAAGAGCTGAAAGAAGGTAGGTAATCTAGAAGAAACAAACTGAAGAGGAAATTAAAACAAATGAACAAAAAAGAGCATATATAATGCTGAACAAGCAAAAAAAAATTATAAAATCGATATGGTTCTGAACACAGAAAATAAAAGAAAAAGCTACGTTTTTAAAAACAATAGATTTACTACGAAAAAGTGACCAAGAAAACTTCAAAACTATGTTCAAACGTGTAGCTTGATGAACTCCATAATTAACCTTTAAGGATTTTCTAATCCAAGACCCCGCTACCTATTTTTTCTAGTAAAACAAGTGTTTTCTTAAGTCGTTAATTTGAACACCCTTTTAGCTCCTAAACGGGAAGATTTAGCATAAGAACTTCTGGAAATATACAGAACATTATGCCCATTTGTTTAGCTCAATTTTTCCCTTGCTTTTTCTGTAAATTTCGATATCGCCATCTGTCCATTCACTAAACTTATTCTGCTTTATGAAACTGAAAAGTATAAATCTAACAAACAATCATAAATTCACTTATTCTTGACATTAGGATTTCCCGGTTAACTCCATTTCTAACTTTTAAAAAATTTCTTCCTATTTTCAGCCAGTGATGTTTTTCTAAGCGTGCCCCCAGCAACTCTTAAAAGCAATACCATTTCTTTCAACACAGTTTAGCTTTAAAAGCCGAAGAAGACATAATAAAGCCAAACGTATCTTTTAAAAAGGCAAAGCAAAAAAAAAAAAGATAATGTACCCAAATGAGATGATTCCATGTGTATCAGATTCTAGTAGAAGTTCAGCCCAGGAAGTTGAAACGGCGGTTCCCAATGAATTCCGTCCTTACACCCTCATGCAGAGCTCTCTAATAATTCAACAAAGAAAACCTTTCTTTTCTTTAAGCTGACTACCTCGCTTTTCAACACATCTTTAACCTCCTTTACCTGCAAGTCTCTATCCATACCTATTACATACTATGCTCTATCACATTTTAGTCTCCTAGGCTCCTATAGAGTAAAGCCAACAAACTTCAATGTCACAAGACCAAGCAAAGGAAACCTTAATTTCCTCATCCAAATTTTAAGAAGAATTCACCAACAATGTACGGTGGCTCTTCTATTCGACCCTACCCAAACTGAAACTTTCATCCCACCAGACAATCTGAAATTAGCAAGCATGCACCAACCACACTTGTGTGTTCTTACATCTTACCGAAAACGCATCAAACTGCAAAAAAAAAAAAAAACTATAATAAGCACCTCCTTGGTCAGTAAGTTCCATACGACAACGATCCCCTTTTCAAACAGCAAAAGAAGCTTTGTATTTTCTGTCGGGCATGTCAAAATCGATTTAACGCTTCCCGGGTGAGTCCGACAACTCCTAAATAGTCAGTGAAGAAAAGCAACAAAATTCAACTGAAAACATGTAGTTGTTCCAAATAACTTATTTCCTTAGTGAGTTTCCATACATCAACAACAACATGCAACTAAGTAATATTCAAAGGTAGCATGAGAATAAAATAAAACAAAAAATGATGTCATTCATTTACAAATCGATTGCTTTGTTCCAATTGATCACATATGTAGACAGCTTAAAAGTGGCGACCGATATAAAATAAACATTTCCACGTTCAGTCCCCAAGTAGAGCCATTTACTTTGAAATGGCAAATTTACACAGGTAACCTGTTCTTTATTCAACTGTATACTATGGACAATTTCCGGAATCTGTAAATACATTTGGCTGGATGTTTTTAGCATACATAACAAAGTTCAGCATAATTTATGTAGTTTAGAGTTACACTAAAAGAACATAACGTTTAACTTAAAAAGGTCTACCTTTTGCCGATAATTCCAAAGATGAACTAAATCATCCCGACATGCTGTTACTAGTGCCCCCTGTAAAACAGTCAACAGTTTAACCCAAAATCTTCCACATCCTCACTACCTCACAGTCTATTTCAAAACTGTTTACCTTATTCTTAATCTTACTTCTATTCATCCATCGAAAAGTTTAGAGAAAATCTGTAAACAACTCCTGCTTCCAAACTATTACCTCATTAATTAAAAACTGAATATTTGTAACAGGTGCCTCAGTTTTATGATACAAGCAGTAGTCAACGCCAACATCTCCAAATATCCTCACAATTCCAGTTCCGGTACCAATTGCTATCAGCTTTTGCATAGGATCATATGCAAAGCAGCGAGGGTCGTCTGGGAAGCCGTGGCGGACAATCTAAAGTTAAATTATAGCTATCGACTAAAGAACCGAACTCCTACATTGTAAAAAAGTTAAAAGAAAGAAATAAGGCAAGAAGAAAAAAATATGTGATCGCAAAACTGACACATAACGAAAAGGAAAAAAATAAACCTTCGAAAAGCAGACATGTTGCGCAGTAACCTTCTCATCAAACTCCACCTCGGTCTTGTTTCGCGAAAGTCTCAACCCATCCAGAGCTGACGCCAACTTTTTTTTTGCTCGATCCATCAAAATTGAGGATATATATATATGTATATA